TCTCTTTCTCTCTCTCTCTCGCTCTCTCTCTCTCTCTCTCTCTCTCTCTCTGTCTTTTATCGCTCTATTTGCTAAAATTGAGGCATAGCCCCTAGTATGGCAATACTCCTTTCTCTATCTCCCTGAACTTGTCGTCATTGAGGCATAGCCCTCAGGATCCCAAAACCCTTCTCTCTCTCACTCAACTTGTCGTCGACAGAGCACTCAGGATGCTATATCCCCCCTCTCTCTCTATCTCTCTCTCTCTCTCTCTCTCTCTCTTGACAGATTCCTAATAGAGGTTGACATAATCTCCTAAACAGGTAAAACTAACTTAGTATCGAAAATTGCAAACATCAGTCAGTGCAAGAAAAAAAAAGATTTCGATAAAAATATTTACAAAAATTTTGATGTTTAGATGCGAACAGCAAGCTTTTCAAATTACTCACTAAAATTAAGAGATTAATTTACGCTGTTTTTTTTATATATGACACCAAAGGAAGGTTGCATGAAGGCCAATATCTTTAAATCATTTGCTATAGACTATCAAGAGGGTATAGAAGATAAGGTGATATCATTAATATATTTACTAATGGTTGTAATGCGTAGAACCACAATTTCACGATTTGTTAATCTACAACATTTTTACTATAACACACAACACCGAAATTTATCAAAAACGGTCATACTCAGATACAATACGGTTCAGTTCATACATGTATTTAAAACAAGAAACTAAAAGATTTCTTACGGTGATTCCTATGTAGGTCGATACTTACTCCTATATTTTAAGACATTCTTAGCATTCCTTTTTCTACTTACAACTATTGATCTATGAGAAAGGGAACTAAGCCTGGCGATACCTTCATCCCTTATATATAGACACTAGCGATCCGCGCCGGCTCCGCACGGGTTTTAATCAACACCCCGCAACCAAAGAGATGCAACATGTCTTCGCAGTGCCAATGAATCGAGCCGATCGGAAAGGACTCGGTCGTCGACGATTCGAGTTGCTCTGCGCTGGATGCAGTCAAGTGGAAGGAGCCGGCATTGAGGAGCCCCAGCCCAGAGATGGGAATAGTATTCCATGTGAGGCCGAACCTGCGCCTTGTACAGTTGCAGGCGTTGTGCCGGCATGAACTACTGTCCCACTCTGCTGAGCACGCCAATCTTTTTAGAGGCCAATTTGGCCATCTCTTCCAAGTGACCACGAAACTGCACGTCACTCGATATATCGACGCCGAGGATTCCGATACTGGCTAAGGCAACAAGGGGAGTACCTTGAAACTGAGGAGATACGACAAAGTGCTTCTATTTAGCGGTAAACGCGCAAACTTGTGTCTTCTGAGGATTAAACTGGACTAGATTTAGTCGCCCCCAATCCGAGACTTTGTTCAGCAAAGACTCGACTTCAGACACAAGTTTGTCCCGCTGAGTGCGACGTTTTCACGAGAAATATAGGCACGGCCGGTGTATAGAACATCACCAGTGCTGTCGTCCGCATAGAAATGAATACTAGCGGTTTGCAACAAATCATTGACATGCAGAAGAAACAGCGTTGGTGATAGCACGTAGCCTTGTGGAACACCAGCGTTAATAGGCTTGTAGTCGGAGTATGCACCGTCTACAACGACCTTGATGCTCCGATCTACAAGAAAGCTGGTGATCCAATTGCACAATTTCTGGGGAAGCCCATTGGAAGGGAGCTTCGAAAGAGGCGCTTTATGCCAAACCCGATCGAAGGCCTTCGCAATGTCCAAACTAACAGCCATCGCCTCCCCCTTGGACTCTATTGCCTCCGCCGATCTATGAGTTAAGTAAACCAGCAGATCACCAGCTGATCGACCCCGACGAAAACCGTATTGGCGGTCAATAATCAGTTGGTGATCTACAGTGTACCGCATGAGGTGGCAGTTTATAACGGATTCCATTATTTTAGAGAACAAGGTGGTGATGGCGATAGGCCTGTAGTTGGACGTGTCTGAGCGGTCGCCTTTTTTAGGGATCGGGTGCACGATAGCTGTCTTCCATGAATTCGGGACAACGCCTAGGGAGTAGGAGTACCGAACTGTGCCAACTCTGGAGCGCACGTCCTCAGCACATTTGGCGGGATTCCGTCAGACCCACTCGACTTGTGGATGTCCAGAGAGAGGAGTGCTTTGCGTACTGAGTACTGTGTGAACCGCACATCCGGCATGGAGCACTCACACCGCGGGATGGTCGGCGGTGTGTTCCCCCTGTCATCAACAGTCGAGTTGGACGCAAAAAGGGAGCCTAAAAGATCGGCTTTCTCTTTTGCGGCGTGGGCCAGTGAGTCGTCTTCACTGTGCAGAGATGGTAGTGATAGCTTACAGAAATTCCCTTGAATAGCCTTGGCAAGAGACCAGATTGCACGGGTTCCCGAAGGAAGGCGAACTAGTTTCTCGCTTATTCTGCCTATGTGCTCTGACTTTGCCTTGGCAATAAATTTTTGTGAAGGACCTGGAGGCGAAGTTATACTTCTTTTTAAGTGTGCTGGTGTTTACATCCCGAGTCGCCGAAGCTGCAGCCCAGGCTTGATAACACTCCTGCTTACTGCGTAATGCAGTCTTACAGGAGTGACCAAACCAAGTCTGAGATCTGCCTCCGATGGGTACCACAGATGATAGAATAAGTAGTTCCATTCCCTGTAGCACCACATCAGTGACAGAGTTAGCAACAGCGCTGGGATCATCCGATGAGAAGCAATCCCGCCCCCATGAGTAGGAAGCAAAGAAAGACCGCATTCCGTCCCAATCCGCCGACCTGTAATGCCAAACACGGCGGCAACATGCAGAACGCAACCGTGAGGGGAGCGTGAGTGGCACCACACTCCGGATCAGACAATGGTCCGAAGAGCCAAGAGGGACATCGACGGAAACCTGATATCCGTCCGGATGAGAGGTCAGCAGAAGGTTCAACAGGGAAAGTGTATGATCCTCAACATCTGGAATCCGCGTAGGCGATGTAACCAGTTATGTCAGACCATATACCAAGGCAAAGTCATAAACAGATCTCCTCGCATGATCGGTTAAACGTGAACTGAGCCATTTGGCGTGGTGGGCGTTAAAATCGCCAAAGATCACGATCTCTGCGGCTGGGACCTGTTGTAGCAAGAAATCTGTAGCCATTTGGACGTGGTCGATGAGTCGGTCTGTTTCGAAATTACCGCTATGAGACCTATAGATGCACCCGTAGACCCGCGGATGGTCGTCGCTGTCTACGCGTAGCCAAAGGATGGACAGGTCCGAACCTTCAAGACTGCCGAGGCGTCGAGAACAGATGTCCTCTCTGACGTATACGCAAACTCCAGCCCGAGGCACAAAGGAGTGCTCTAATTTGTACCCCGGGTAGGAGAGATACGAACGATATCAGCTGGAGAGGACACCTGCGTCTCGGTCAGAAAGAACAAGGCCGTCTTCGCCGTCTCGAGATGGTAGTGGACGGCGTTTAGATTCGAGTGAAGTCCCCTGATGTTTCAGAAATTCACGGATAGCGTGGCAGGGGTCGCCTTGGTCTTGTTGTTCAGTTTGCCCCGAGCAGTTATTGTGTTGAGCGGAATTTAGTCCCCCCCCCAAAATACGCGGGGCAGCCTGAGCACCCACGCTCAGGAGTGGAATAGCATGGTCGTGGATGCTCAGCGAGGGATTCTCCAGGGGTGCTGGTACCCTCCTGGGGTAGTCTATGATGTAATTCCGCTACCATGTTGATGGGGGGGGGGGGGATCAGGCCTCCGGTCCCCTGCACTCACCAGACAAACCGCGAAAGCAGAGCTTCCACTTCACGCCGCTATTCTTTGAAGTCGTGGTACTAACCCGGCTCGAGCCGACCCATACGTACAACAGCAAAAGCTGCTGCGTAGCTCTACCACCGTTACCTTGAGCACTTCAAAAGAAAAATGACCCAATAATGCCGCCAGACCAAAATCTGCACCAGACAGTCACTCATTGTGGATGCATTGGTTTCAAGGCGATAAACTAAAGAAACTTTAAATTAAAAAACAGATTATCAAAGTGCTTTCTAAAAATTGAAGCTTGAAAATGATGTTGTTGTTTTGCTAACAAACGTTGATAATAATCTAAAATCGTTAATAGCTTTATAGTGTACAGTACAAATGACGTTGTAGTGCTTCTATTTGAGGGATTATCTAGTACAAAAGGACGTAGTTATACAAAAACGTTCCAACCCACAAGTGATTCAAAAATAAGTTCTTCTTTTTCTTTACTTTTTTGGCTTCTGGTAAAAGAATTCTGCCAACGTCAAGTCAGTCATAGGAGTGACAATCAAAAATGAGTTAAATATATAGATCTACTTATTTTGACATTTTCGCGAAGATGTAAAAATAAATAGATCTGTATATTTAACTCCTTTTTAAATGACTTGTGGGTTGGAACGTTTTTGTATAATTACGTCCAAAATATGTTGTGAGAAATCAGCATTTCGTTTTATTCAATATTTTATTATTTGTGTCTCAAATGAACTATAATACATAAATATTATATACAAAATTTACGAAGTAAGTTTTGTTAAGTTTACTATATCAACTTAACAAAAAGTTAAAACACACGACATACAATGTGGTATACTTACTTGTTAGTAACAATTATTTCAGTTACTTAATTATTTACCTGCTATTTTGCCATACTGTGTCAAGAACATACAACTGCACATATCCCGCCTCAAATAATCCTATCGACTTTTACAACAGCCACAAGACGAAATATATTGATTGTCTTATTTTAATTTAAGAAATTCGCTTAACACCACGAAACACTACCTTTAAAAGAATATGTAGTCATTCATCTGGATATCGCAGGGAGCATTGTAGAATCATTAATATGTTAATTGAACGATAATTTTCACTAATAAATTTGCCTATGATAAGTAGATTTTTACAACTTTTAATTAATAATGAACTTTATGTAGTTAAAGGTTATAAAAATGTTATGTAATGAATAATTTAATTAATTATTATGTAGTAAAATTTGTTTAAAATTCTACAGAAAAGTCGCAATGGGCCGTGTATTGACTACTTCTATTCGTTGAAAAACGTATCCTTCTGCGCTTTTCATCCTCGTGATCACAGATACCTTGGATTCATAACCAAACACCCTACATTGCAACGATTTGCATGCCACGTGTTCAGAGGACAAGAGTCTACAAGACCCGTTGCTGAAGCTGTGGGGTATGTAATTCGGAGATATTTTTTTTTAATTTGCTGAACGATCCCTGTTAAATTTAGTAATTAATAAATAGCGGTTATAGAAACTGAAAAGTAAAAAATGGGTATTTAATAATTTACTTATTTCATCCTCAAAATCCAAACTTGTCTTTTCTTCTGTTTAGAATAAACGTAAAGATTTCTTTAACAATTTTAAATAAGCCTACGAAAAGTTGTTAAGAACTTAATCTCAGTCTTTCTTGTCAGAATTAGCTTTCTATGATTAATCTACTTACTAGTATGTAGATAATTTATTTTAATTTTATTTTATAGTATAGGGTAACAAACGAGCACACAGTCCACCTGATGGTAAGTGGTTGCTGTGGCCCATAGACATCTACATTTATCCTCATTTGCGAATCAAAATGCAGAGGCGTTGTCACCCATGAGGACTATAATGGAATGCCTCGTTTCCAGTAAAAAAGGGTCTCCGGTTCTCTACACTCACCATCCGAAACACAGCAGTTTTAAGCTGCTATTTGACGCTGGTATTCTGTGAGAGGGTGGTCCTTCCCCGGTCGAGCCGACCCATTCATGCTACAACTATACTACTAATATAGCTGCAGCATGTCTCTACAACGTAGTACGTGGTAGAGCCATGCTGTACAACATAATATATAAAATTTAACAAATTTTCGTATAATTTCACGTAGTTCGCGCAATATGTACAAATTAAATTGTTGTAAAATTTCAGGAGGGCATTCCAAAGATTCTACCAAAAGTTTATAGAAACAGCATATCCAGTAGAAGACATCTACATAGAATAAATTTAAATACGTGTAACGTGTATCACCACAGTATCATAAGAAGCTTTCACGTTGAGATTTTCACACACCCTTGGCGTGGAACCTGATAGCGTGAACAAAATGCATGTCAAAAAAATTGAAGGAGAAGAACACTTTATTTTACATTAAATACCAATAAAGTTATTAGTGTGAACAAATATTACCACTGGCTAGTTGTGAATTAAGAAAGTACTTAAAATATTCGAAATCTCTTGAATCTCTTGCTATTACTGAAAACGACCAGTACGCTAAGTGTCTGTGAAAAATGAGGGCTTTAACTTCAATACTTTAAACGTTGTCGATAGCTATGTCGCCTTTTAGGAATATTTTTTTAATGAAATATTACAATCACATATGAATAATTTTGAAGAGAGTAAGCATAATTGAGCAGCGCCTTGCTTGTTAAGGTATTAGGAAGTTAGGATAAAATCAGTTAATAATGTTGTATACAATATAAAAAATGTTATGCCAGAACTTTGTATAATGCCAGCACGTTTCAATAAATTTTACTTATAAAAGGCAAGGTTGAAAGTGTCTTTTTGTAAACTTGGCAATACTTGACTGCTTTCTACATTTTCATTATAATATATTTTAACCGACTTCAAACACAGCACTTGTTTTTTTTTTTTTACCAAAAACATTAGAGCTGAGTTGAGTTTTATCTGTTGGAATATGATCTGTTAAGTGCTGCCAAGTGTATCGCAAGAAAATATCAACTGAATCTCGTATACTGTGATATGAAAACCTTTGATTTTTCTTATAAATGTAGAATTATTTATTTTAAGGTTGCCAATAGCTCAACGTATTTCAAAATTTTGAAATTTATATTACCTTCATACAACGTATATACATAAAAACCTGTACTACGTAATTAACAAAATCATTATATAAGAGGAAATATATTATTGTGATTGGTAGTTTCTGTGTTAGACAAAAAATATTTATTTTAAATTTACTGATGGTGCATCTGGTTTTAAATTCACTTTATTTATTTATTTTATAAGAATATACTTCCAGACTTCCCTGTTTCCCATAAATATGAAGCACTATATCACCAAATTGTACATACATAACTAATGTTACCGGCTCATTTAGCACTGCGAAGGAATCACTAAAAACATGCTTTTCTTAAAAATAATTACTACACTTTCCTGGATATATACACATACTTTATTCAGTATAGGGTATTGTGGTTTGATTGTTTCGCAATGTAAATGAGGCCTATATTTTGTAAATATGACTTATAAGAGATCTAAACCAGAATTATTCAAAGGAGAATACAGATACTCAACAAGGCTAAAAAAGCTGTGACTCCTAACGAGTAATGAATATTATAGTATTATTTATTTTTCCATCACTATCGTAATTTATTGAACTAGAATTGCATAAGACATTAAAGTTATTCTGTATTATGTGGGACTGAAACTAAGTATTTTATTTTACTTCACAATAATGGCCCTTCTGCAAAACTAATGCCAAAAATGATTTCTTATATTTAATATTAAACATCTAATACAATAAATTTTATGGATATTATCGCGTTTAATTTTAGCCTATTTATTCCCGACCTTTTAAGGATCCGATGCCTAACTTTAACTTTTAAACACTCACATATTTTTAAATTGAAGGCAGCCACCAATCTTGAAATTAAACGCGATAATAATTTGCCATAGAAAAGAATTGATCTTCGCATCAAAATTATGTTGATTGAGTTTAGAAGTCACCTCAGGCAGAGACATTTTATGGTATATGACAGATGGTGGAATAATCATTCTAAAATTTTAAGATTCAAAACAGGCCGTATATCAGCATACCTAACGTGTTTCAGTTAAGAAGAACATAAAATGATGTACTTGGCGAAGCAGTGAGGCGAATAACATCAGTTTATGACTTACACATGAAAACCATGACCGCTTTGTCCACAGCGTACTGCAACTGGTACTATAAAAAAACAGCTTAACTTTTTTTAGAATTTGTCTTTTGATCAAGACGTGACATCTAAATCTTACTAATGTCTACTAGTAAGGTTTCGATGTCACTTTCTATGGTGAACCCAATCTTCTAAAGGTTGACATCTAACAATCATTCTGTGGTTACCTTTTTTACAATTATAAGCCAGTTCTTGAAAACGTTCCTGTCTGATGGTAAGTGATGTTGCAGCCGAAGATAGACTCTTGCCTCATGAGATACTCCATTTCATAATCTACCGAGAAACACTCTGATCTGCCTTATTGTATGTAAATACGTATTTATGGATTGGCCAACCCATAAATACATATTTACAAGGCAAAAAAATATTTGTACATACATAACATAACGCCTGGGAGTAGGAGTCCAAAAAGGTTCTGCTTTTCTGCAAATATCCCAATATTGTATTAGTCGCCTTTTACGACTTCCTAGGAACTGACACACACATGTTTTTATTATAACTTCCACATAAACATGAGACCTAAACTATTATATATCCCAAGTTAACATGGAATTAAATGGCACGTTTACAAAATAATCGGCAAAATATAAGCAATCTGTGAAGTTAAGCTAATCCTAAAGGTTGAAGACAATTCCATCTAGTCATCCATTACAACCTAATAACGTCAACTGCTGAACATAGGTCTCCCCATAAATTGCCTTATAAGGGTGATAAGATTGAATGTGATTACAGATCAGTATTTAATCTAATATATAAAAATGTATGTTTGTTTGTTCGTATTTTATGTGCTGCCATACCTTTCATTAGATTGCGGTAAAATTTTGTCAAATTATTGCTTGCACTTGCGCGAAGGTTATAGTCATAACATCTACAGTTAACTTACAGTAGGTGGAGCGCGTATAGAACCAACAAATTTATTTGATAGTAAGGTTTATCTTTCAATTTCAATTAATGTAATATCATTCCTAATTAAAAAATATCTACATTATTTCTTTTGCGGCAGCAACGCGCCTGGTACCAGCTATTTTGTTATGTTGTCGCAGCGCAACACAATCCACTGCTCTAAGGCATCTCGTGGATGTTGTGATTTGTGGTGTAAGTCATTCTGTCGGTATTTTGAACGTGGTAGAGCCACGCTGCAGCTATATTATTGTTTTAGTACGATGGTCGGCTAAATCGGGGAAGAACCACGTTGTCACAGAATACCAGCGTAAATAATTGCTTAATACTGCTGTCTTTCGTACGGTGAGTCCATTGAGGACTAAGATGGAATCATCTTAGTTCTCAAGTGCGAAAACGCATTTGCGTTTTGATTCTAATTTAAGATGTAAGTGTTTATGAGCCATAGCGTCCAATTACCATCAGGTCGACTGTGTGACTCATTTGTCACCTTTATTTTAATAAATAAAACATTAAATCCATTTATCCATAATATATATGAGGCAATATATATCTCCACCCGTGGACTTTATTGAATGAATGAAATTAATTCAAAAAAATTGCAGTAACTCTTTATCGATCCTCTAAAACAATTGTTGCGTAATGACCTGTCCTGCCGAAGAACGAGGCCACCGTCTTTTTTCCCACGCTTCGACATCTCTTCACTTTAGTTGGCAACTCCTCGGAAGAAAATACCCAGACAGCAGACTGTCTCTTAGTTTCAGGATTCGTCACGCGTAAATATGTCGAACACAGCATTTGAGTGACCTCCTTTAAATCTTTGAACTATTTCACGACACAAACCAACACGACGGAGTTTTTGGGCCTCTGTCAAATTATGAGGTATCTACCGGGCAAAAAGCTTCCTGACCGCTAAATATTCATGGAGGATTTTATGCACTTCACTCATACCGATGCCTAAGCTTGTCCAAATCTGCTGATAAGTATCTTTTTTGTCAATCTTTATCATACGGCGCACAACAATGATGTTATTTTCAGTCGTCGCCTTAGAAGGCCTTCCCTCACGCAGATCATCGGTGTGATTAGTGCGACCAAGTTTAAACTTATTAAGCCAGTTGTAAACAGTGGCACGAAATGGGGCTTCATCGTGAAAGGACAATCGAAGTCCATCATAACTTTCTTGTTGACTTAAATGACATCGAAAGTCATAAAAATCATTGTACATAAAATTTTCTCGCGTTAAATTAATGCTGGTGACGTGACAAAGACAATTTTCATTTTGCCGCCAAATCGTAAACAAATAACAAATTAATAAAATACATACACAATAATATTGGCAAAGAGTTCCATTTTCAAAATTTGAACTTAGTTTTTTATTATATCGTTTACAAGAAGCCAGTTCTAAAAACGTTCAGTGTCGCCCTCGTATTTGAAATGTCAATTTTAACCGGACTAATTGTTAAAAAAATGCAAAACGCATTTCCATTACCTACATCATAAACTTTTAGAAGTATGATAAATCACTAACGCGGTACTCTTTACTGTGTTATTTTTTTAAATCGGAGTGACAAACGTGCACACAGTCCACCTGATGGTAAGTGGATGCTGTGACCAATAAACATCTACATCTATCCTCGAGTAAGAATCTAAATGCAGTTGGGTTGTCACCCCTGAGGATTTATACGATATGCCTAGTTTCCTATAAAAGAACTATTAGGTTAGGTAACTACTACACTACACTACACTCATCATACAAAACAAAACAGCATTAAGATGCTATTTCACGCTGGTATTATGGCTGTTGTTGTTTGTGGTCCTTCCACGGTCGAGCCGACCCATTCGTGCTGTAAATATAATATAGCTGCTGCGTTGCTCTACTCTGTTAAATGAACTATTAAGTAAATAGCGGAAATGTTTTGAATAAATTATGTTTTAAAACGTTAGTAAACAAATTATTGTAAGTATTTGTGATGGGTATCCAGGTACAGGGTGCACTGTGTATTGTGTGTATATTGCACATTAAAATGGAGACGTTATTAAAATTGGATGTTATAGACTTGTAATGCAAATAAGCATTTTTGATTTTTATATTTGATTTCGAAAACATGAACCTTTACACACTAATATCATACGCGTGTTTCTCATTAAAATT